AACTTTACTTTTGAGTCTTTAATATTACAATTTTTAATGTGATTCGTCACACGCTAAATTGATTGCATGAATTTTATTGATAATCTTATGATTTATTAAAAAATTTATTAGTAAGTGTAGCTATTCATGATCAAGCTCAATTAGAAACTTGTTATATGCATTAACACTTATCTTATTTGAATCGGTACTTTTATAGTTTTATTAGCTTATTGTTTATCACTTAATCAATAACCAATGGAGTAATTTATGCATGTATCATTGCATCGTATGTAACTCCACATGATGGTGAACCTTATTGGTAAATCCATCAATTTATTAATACTCTTGTCAGTAATCTTAGCTATTCATAATCAATACTTCAATTAGTAACATGATATATACGTTTTCACTAATCTCAGATGAATCAGTACCTTTATTAGTTTATTGCTTATCAGTAACCTAATTTATGCGGTATATAACTCCACATAAATTGCCAATAGCCTCATTCATGTCACTCAAATCATTAATAATATAGTGTGCCATGGCCATACATCGTGAACGAATTTGTGAATGATCTAAATCTCATTTGTACCAAACTTGAGATTGAAAATATGTGTGTAGGACCAATGGAACATATGTAGCAACATGCCTAAAGCTAGTGAAACTTGAAGAATTTCATGAAAGGTATAGAACAAAAGCAAGAAGAACTTCAAGAAATGAAGGGTACTAGTCAAGTAGTCAACTATTAGTGAATTGAAAAAAAAAAAGATCTATAAAATTAGAAAGTTATTTTCAACAAAATTTGACTTACCAAAACTTATTATACTTGTGCATTAAATTTATGGAAACTTATTACTTTGTATTTGTACTACAAAGAAAGCAATTTCTTAAATCTAATAAAACCATTACTCATTTTAACATTATCTTTAAAATGTAGTATCCCTCTTAAAATTTTGGATCATTTTATTATTATCCAGAGTTGTGGTTTTTAATTGTGTCTATTCACTTGAATTATTTCACTATTAATTAACTTAGATAAGTCCAGATGAGATGATTTAGGTTAAATAAATTTAGACTTGATCATTTTAATATGATTTATTGAAATTTAATTCACCACTATAATTATACGTCCACATAAGTAAAAATAAGGTGAATGAAAAACACCCTATTTCGGCTTTTTGGGGGGTGTACTAGAAAGATCCCTATCCTTTTCTTTTTTTATTTACATATATATTTTGTTTTAGAGGGTGCTATTATTGATTTATGATTGTTTTGATAAAGTATGTTATTCGTTTTTTTATCTCAATGCGTTCCTGGTCTCATGGATGTTATTATTTAATTATTAGTAAGGGCCAATTAAATGATAGACATATTATGCAAAGAAAATTTCCATTCATCCCCCATCTACAAGGTGAAGAGTCATATTTCATATAAGCGATGGAAAGAAATTTTCCAATGAAAATCACAGCTATGAAGAAATACTCCACCAGTACTTTACGACAAGTCAAAATTTGATAATTAACAAATACTCCCTTCGTTTCACTTTGATAGTCCCCTTTGGAATCAATCACTTAAAATAAGAACGACTATTTCACCAAATGCCACTGAGTAATTTCGAAATTCACCAAATGCCATCGAACTTTTCAAAATTCACCAAATGCCACCGAGTTTTAACAAAATTCACCAAATGTCATTTCCGTTAGTTGACCGTCAATGTCCGTTAGTTGACCGTTAGTTAGACCCCACCACTTGCCACGTGTCACCTTCTAATTGGTCCGTTTTAAAAATATATATATATATATATTTAAAAAAATTAAAAAAATAACAAAAATAAAAATTAAAAACTTTTAAAAATAGTAAAAAAAAAAATTAAAATAAATAAAAATTACAAAAAAAAAGAAATTAAGAGGTGGCAGCCACCACCTCCTCTGTGACTTCCCACCCCAAAACCCTAGCCACCACCACCTTCTCCCTGACTACCCACCCCAAAACCCTAGCCACCACCACCCCTGCCGCCAGCGCTAGCACCGGAAGGCGCGCTGGCCTCCTGCGACCTCTCCCCAACCCCGTCGCAACCCCTTAACCCGCAAAACCCCACCCCCCTTCCTCCACCACCCCGAAACCCCACCCTCCTTTTCCCTCTCTGATTTCCGGCAACCCAAAACCCATCCCCTTCCCCAACAACTTCGTGATTGGTGCGAGATTGGTGGAGGAGTTTGTGGCCATTGATGCGAATGGTGCGAGATTGGTGGAGGAGATCTCGGCGGCGGTTTTTGGGGTCGAGGCTGGCTGTGTGGGTGGTTTTGGGGGTCGACGGTGGATCAGGTGAGGTGCTAAAGGGTCGGCCGGCCGATTTTTGTTGATTACAAAGGTGGCAGCCGTTTTCCGGCAATATAAGGGAAGGAGCAGGGTTTCGTGGTGGTGGCTGGGGCGGTTCAAGGTTTCTGTTTTTTTTTTTTTAATTTTTAATTTTTTTTTAAAAACGGACCAATCATAAAGTGACACGTGGCAAGTGGTGGGGTCCACTAACGGTCAACTAACGGTTGTCAGTCATTAATGACACTTGGTGAATTTTGTTAAAACTCGGTGGCATTTGGTGAATTTTGAAAAGTTCGATGGCATTTGGTGAATTTCGAAATTACTCAATGGCATTTGGTGAAATAGCCGAAATAAGAAAATAAGGAATCCTAATAATTTGAAATTTGATTGCAACTTTGTAATTAATGTTTTGTCTTTTCTTGTTTTATTTATGGAAATTGACTATAATTAAATCACCTATAATAAATTTTGATAGAAAGATTTGCCATGTCAGCAATCCACTAGCACATATATTAACCAATCCGAATTACTTGACTATTTAAACACCCAATTAGATTAATTATTCACGGATTATGAAAATTATTCACCCTATAATAATGTTTGGAAATATTCAATATATGTATATCATTTTGAAACGCCCATAATAGTATATGAGACTAACAAAGTGACACAGAGGGAGTATTAAGAACTCTAGTCCTTTTATTAATTGACATATTAAATAATATACTCTCATAAACTTAATACGTGGTATATACTTGGTTTAATTTTGATGTGACTAGTGCACTTAATTGGTCACTTCTAGCACCTAGTGATGTCAATTAACATAATTTGACTAGTGTTTTTTTTTTTTTTTTTTTTTTTTTTTTTTTTTTTTTTTTTTTAATTTCATGATATATTAAGAGATTATTATAAATATTATTCAAAAGATAAAAAAGAGATCGTTATAATTTCAAAGCACCAATGTTGTTTCATAAAACTAGCTACTTTGAACAATTCTTACAAGCTCTAAATTTTTGGTTCAATTTCTCTTGAAGATTTCAATCTCCTAATTTTAATTGTGGTTATGCTCTTCACGTTGTATATACGAAATATATTATCTTCCTACAATTTTAAAATTTAAATATCATCTATATATATTAAGAAGGAAAAAGATAAAGAAAAAGAGATTGGAGTTTTACCCTACAAAAATATGACTACTATCACAATGTTGTTGCATATATTATAACAACGGTGACTTTGCTAAAGTGAAAAATGATATGTACTTTGTAATTTTTTTTTGCTTCTATTGTTTAAACCTTAAATTTTTAGTAGCTCAATTCTAATAGCTAAGTATTTTAATTTCCTAAATTACTTGTATAAGTTTGTACACCCTTTTGTATTATTTTATTTGCCGTGTTTTTTTTAACGCAATGCAATATACATATCTCTAAGAATGCATCAAGAAAACTTATTAAAATACATATTTGGAAAATAAAAATCAAGACAATAGCAATATCCTCAAAAGTCAAAACTATGCTTTCAACTTTGAAGAACATATTTTGGCACCAAAATGGAGTTGCTTTCGAACTTGAGTCATGGAGTTTTGGGCTTATACCAAGGCGTTGGTTCATAGGCTTGATTATCCTGGGCCTATCCTACGATACTGCCTTTAAGGGTTGGACTTTCCCTAAAGTATCCTAAGGGAAAGATTTTTAAAATGAGTTTAACAAATTGTAAATTGAAAGTTGTTAGCTTATTAAATAGCTTCAATGCATCCAAATTAAGCGGATTAAGCTATAAAATCAGATACATAAAAGTCCTTTTCTTGAATATTCTATTACCGTATAGTTAGCCAACTTTTGAAAATAGTAGTGTTGTGTTAAAAAATGATGATTCAGTCAACACGGATTTACTCCATCTAACAATTGGATAGAAAGCTACATATGTTTTTTACAAGTTTATGTGGTTATATTAGTTATTACAAGATTATGTGGTTACATAGTTAAATGTGTATATCCTTTACTCAAGTTTTATAATTAAGAGTCTTTTATATCCAAAATCAACATTTGACTATATAGTACTATAAAGGAGTATATTAAAACTAAAATTGCGAGCGCACATGATTCCCGTATAAAAATATTTGCAATATTTTGACTATTTCACTATTCAGACGTTAACTTTGATTATGTATGATTAATAAAACTAGTGTATAAAAATTCAAATGATATTGTTTTATATGTTGTAAGTCTCAATCTATATTTTTAAATAATTTTTACTGATACAAAGTTGCATATATTAATGATTAAACATGTTGATTTATTCGTCATTCAAATTGTTACAAGTATTTTGAAACAAATAGAGTAATATCCACTTTTGTGTGGGAGGATTTTTGATGAACTTCCACCCAAGCTAGTGCTTCCGGTGAGAATCAAACTCGTGACCTTCAAGTCACCAACTCGATCCCTTAGCTTGCTATTAGATCAATATTAACTTGGTTATCACAAACTACTTAGGAATACAGTGCATGCGATTTGTATATGCAGTCCATATGAGTCTCATTAGGGAAGTCAATATGATAATCACGTAGCAAGAGGTTTTTGTCATTGGCTAAATTTTCGTCTTTTCTATATCACTTGTTACAAGAACCTTTTGCCATGCTAGTTTAGACTTTAATAGTGCAATCTTTGTGTTTGACAAAGAACTTGCATGTAAACAGGATTGTATACTTCATACAAATTCAAATTAATCCATTTCAAACTCAAATTCATAGTCTTACAAATGTCTACAAGTCCAAATCGACTGTTAAGAAAAGAAAGAAAAGGCGGTATTAACAAGCTAAGATATGATAAATACATTTAATTTGTCACACTGATAAAATCCATCCTTAAGAAATACTTAGTTTCTTCTGAGGGAGGCAGCAGAGATCAACACGAGTACGATGAAGAGAAAAGCAGCAATGAATGAAGCAACAACAGCTCCACTAACGCGCTCACAGAAGCTGCCAAATTGTTGGCAGATAGCCCCCCAGTTGATCTTGTTGTTACCCTTGTGTGCCAAGTATACTATGGCTGCTGCAGCTCCTGCACCTGCGGATATCAGTGCTACTGCTATCTGAAACAGAAACATTATGCAGGGTCTCAGGTGTCACACTTCAATATCGTTTAATAGTATCCATATATACTTCGGTAATGATTTAAATCTGTAATTTTGTTACTTCGCCAAGAAACTTGTTTAAATGAAATGGTTTATGTATTTACCGTGTCGAAGATGATGAGTAGCATCCTCACCCCTGAAGCCTGTGGTCTCACTATGCTGACAATGGAAAATGGCAGGGAGAGAACAAGGTATGCACTTGCCACTGCATTTGCAGCCACAAAAAATCTGCAGTGTTCACCATACGATATTATTACACGCTATACAGTAGAAGTAAATATTTTGGACATTCTTAAATAGTATATGTGACTATAAATGTTGTGGAAAGGGTGTATCATAGATGGTTACTAGAATGCACTTACGAGAAAGCAGGGAGATCGTCGTATCTAGCATGAAACTGGAAGAATTGAGTGAAGAAATTAAGAGTTTGATCACTGGTTCCCATTGCAATAGCGGCACCAAGAGCAGCAGCTAAAGCAGCCAGCCTTAGAATGAAGTCGAAAACAGCGAGCCCTCTATTCACAGCTCCCCCTCCTGATCCCATAACTTTAACAGCTTTCATGGCCCCAGACTTTCCTCTTGGCTCCGACTTTGGCTCTTGGATGTGGATGGTTGATGATTCGTGGTGCGACATTTTCTGCTGTTCTTCTTGGGTTGGATTATGGATATAATGTAAACTTCGGAAATTATGTGAAAGATGAAGATGAGAAATGTGAGTAAATTGCTTATGGAAGAAGGGAGTACAATGGAGAAATATATAGTTGATATTTGTTAATGGGTTAGTTTTTTTGTTTGATGGTGGCAAGTTAGGTAATGGGGCAGCTAGAACAACAGTAGTGGTTACTCAAACTTGCTCCATTTATAAAATGTTGCTATTAGCCTGTTATACTACTCTACTAGTATTATTTTTGACATAAAGAGTAATCACAAGTAGAGTAGGTGGTTCCAACCACTTGGCCAAGGCTTCCGAGTTCATGGCGTTCAATTCTCATCTGCTCGTCCTTCATCCTTGAGACTTCCCCTTGCTACTTTGGCTTAGCTCAATTATTGTAATCTTCTTACTATCCAATACACTTACTTCATCCTAGGTTGTGGTGAGATCCACGTGGATTCAGAATCGATAGGTTATTGTATTTATTTTTTAAAACACACTTTTAGTGTATTGTTTGGCAGAATTTTACTTTAGACACAATCGTCTAACCACGTCTTAAAATGTAAATATCTCAAATCTTTGTTTCTGCAAAAATTATAAAATCTTCACTTTAGACATAGTCGCTAAAACACGTCTTAAAAGGTAAATATTTCAAATAGAGATTCCAAGAAAATTTTACATACCCTACGTTCCTAAAAGTTTATTCTATTTAAACTCTTGACACTATTCATAAAATGAAATAATCTTATAAATTACTCACAATATATAATAGTTAGGTTTTATTTGATTCGTCTTAATGAGAAGATAATTAATATTCAATTATTATATATTTTTATTTATATGTAATTGAAGTGATATATGGTCAAAATATGCAAAATGGAAAGAACTTTTAGAAACGGCATATTGTCATACCTATAGACGATTCCAAACCAAAAAGAAGCCTTGAGCTGAGCACTAAATTATCTTTGTTCTACCTTTGGTTTTTTCTTCTTCATACACAGTAATTTGGGAATATTATTGTTATAAAGATTATATCGCTAATTCGTAAATTGATAAGCACCAAAAAAATATATACGAGAACAAGGAACCAAATTCTACACCTGGTTTATCCAAACCATCCACCTATCCAAGTATGATTAGTAAGTTAAGAGTCGAGCTTAATTTTCAACTATTACATCAGTCAGAAACTCAGAACAAGCACACCTGACTCAAAACTTCCCATCTGATGTGAATTAAGAGCCAAACCGAGCTTAGAATATTTAGTCCGACAAATTCAACCTTGAGCGTGAGTTTGTGCAAGCTAAAGCCAAAGATACACCAAGATTGAGCTCAGCTCATCATCACCCGAACTCTTTTGTATTGTTCTTAAAAACAATGAACAAAACATGACATTGTTTTGTCTGCCTCTCTATCTCCTCAAAGTCGCATGCAAATTGCCATGCTGACATAGCGACATGGTGCAACCAATCAAACTTCAATGATTTATCAAGACACCAGCAACTGTTCGTTAGGCATATTATGCCTTTATCAAGTATCAACTCTTTACCCAGATGAGGATGCAGGGAGTAGAGCCATTGATTAAAGGGTAATCTGAAATGGAACCCATAATGACCACCGACGAGTGACGACCTAGTGTTTGACGAGGTTGGAAGGTTGCGGCTAAGGCAGTGGTGAGATTAAATGGTGGGTGTCCAAGAAGGCCTAATGACAGCAGTAAGTCTCTTTCCCTTTTTTTCTTTTCAGAGTTAAATAGCCTATATGAACAGTAAAGGGAAGGTGGGTTAGAGTTGTATTGTCAGGGATGAGTGGATAACCTGCAGTGATCACCAACTGGTGGAGGCATAGGTGGCGGACACCTCCAGAGCCAAAAACTTGTAAAATTACAGGGTTTACGTCTCGGTGAATAGATTTGCTTACACATCCTACCTGTCATTTCGGCGAGATACTACATGTCTACACAGAGGGAAAAAGTGACAATAACCTTAACTTCATACATAAAAGATATTTACAGGTGTATTGCAACAGCATAGGAATGGACTACTGAAAAAAGACTCCATATCATGCAATTTTTCTATTGAGAAGTCAAGCATACAAGAAGTTTCTGGCATACTTGTCTCAACTGGGGTGAAGGATCAGAAGTAGATACATGTAGCAAAATGGATCTTGCCTCAAGCAATTGCCCTGAAATTCTTTCGATCACCGCATCATCACTGGCCATAAGGGATGCCATCAGCTTGGCTCCTGCCATTTTTTCCTGAGAATCAAATCATACAAGCATAAGAGTTCTTAATTAACAAGTAAAAATGAAAACTGAATTCATGTAAAAAAATTCTAGTCATTAAAAAGTAGTTTAGTTTTTCATTTGAATAGCCAGCGCCCGTTCTGTAATGTTCATCAATTGCTGAAGAGTTTTTGGGCTTTCAGGTAACCCGTCCCATATACCTCTTTCAGAGAAAAAATAGAATGCAAGAAGAATTTCTACCAGGATATATATATATATATATATATATATATATATATATGTACTTTAAAGAGGTTAAGAAGTGAAGCAGACGCAAACAAACAAGCAGGCAGCAGCATAAAATCATTAGCAGTAGACACTGGAAAGGGGCATGGAAAAATTTAATGTTTGTTTCTCTCACACTTCCACTTTTTTATCCCATCCGAGGATAATCTGTGGTTATTATAATGTTTGTTCTGAGACAAATGACCAGAGAATAAGTTCTTTGTACACTGCTGATTACAAAATATAATGAACCATCTTCAAATATCTTTGAGAAGAAATAGACTAGTTACCTGTTCAGATTCTTTTCTAAGAGAACTGAGTGAGACCTTGAGAAGATCATGTGCATAAGGAACAATTCCCAATTTTAAATGACATGCAGCAGAAAACAAGACCTGAACACAAGCAGCTCTGATCTCTGCATTCTCTATGTCCTGTAATAATTTGTACCAGAGAAGTTTTTACCACTTCCCCACAATACAAGTTCAACAAATAAATTGACAAGAGGATCAACTAATACATCATACAAACTAGCAAACCTGAGTTGAAGAAATGAGACGTGGAAGGGTCTTTCGTGCAAAAGCGTTTTTGACAGATTCTGGCATTTTTTGGCAAGCACTAATGACGACATTAGCCATGCACAAACGAAATGAGATGGATATGCAAGTCTCGTGTGCAGTATCTTCAATTAGTTTGGAGCGGAGACCAGCTTCATAATTATCCTTAGTCAAATTATCAATGACAAACGAAAGGACAGAGCTTCCAGAGATAAGAGCTCCAGAAGTTTGGATTATTAAGGCTGCAAAAGCACAAAAGCCAATAAGGCTGAAATTCAAAGGGTCAAAATGATCTTCATCCCAAAGTTTTTATTAATCTTAATTACCGTTCTGGGCATCAGACTTCTCAGCTGGGCCTCTCACTGTTTTTGGAGCTTGCAATTCCGCGCATATAATTAGGGCTAGACAGTCGATGCACCCATGTTGTACTTTGGAAACTGCAGAAAGGTTGGAATCTTAAACTCACGTCAAAGCATGTAGAAACATAAGGAAGAAAGTGCCTACCTTCATCCCCATCCACAGAAGGCCACAATAGAACAGCTCGCAGTGTTCTTATTATCTTGCTTACGTCGGGATGAGAAGCTGAGTCCCACCCTCTAATCTACCAAATAAGCAGGATGAACTGTTAGCTCAAAGCATACCAAGATTCGGCAGGAAGGAAACATCAATTACACATTCTACCCCATCATCACCCCCACTTATAAAAAGTGAATCAAAGAGTACTGTTAGGGGGAACTTGGTCATATATTACAACAAAATGATAAGGTACACATAAAATGCACAAATGAACAGAGGGCTAAAGTATACTTCCTATTTGAGTAGCTATACATACGTGAAAACTAAGTAGAGCATAAGAGCAACATTGAAAGGCAAATAAAAGCCTCAAAGATGATTAGCACATAAAATTCACAAAACATTAAAAGGTTGAGAGATATTTACCGACAGTGAGGTGCAAACAGCAAACAGACAAGATTTTATCTGCATGGCATCCTTACTTTCAGCAGTGCGTTGCAAATAAGATTGAGCGACAGGAAAGAGAATCTGGAGATATACAAAGCAGTGGGTACCAGAGTTCAGCAGGGGGGCAAAAACTAGGGTAGTAGGGTGAAGACATCTCTTGTACTAAAAAAAACTTATTTAAGAAAATTAACAATAAAATAAAATAAGGTAAGCATATGACATTTACATACTTGGGGATGAATGCGACCGCAGAGTTCAGCAGCAAGTTTTCTCACATCTTCATATTCAGACTGACTAAAAGCCCTGACAGAAAAATAATAAATGTTAAATTAAAAAGCAGCGATCCCTAAATATTGGAAAGAGAGAGCCACGAGCAATAGCAAAGCAGTACTGATCTTTGACTGACCTGTTAAAGAGGAAAGTGGCAACACACTCATAATCAAAGACATCAATACTATCTGTACCTGGTACCCCACAAATGTTAGTCATGTCAACTAGAAGCAAGAAATGGGCTTAATAATTTATAAATGCCAGTAAATAGAATTCAAACAAAGAATTAACTGTATTATTATAATATCACAAATCCAAATAAAAAGAGTGGTGTTGTCACAAAATCCAATATCAAATTCAAAACTCTTAAATCGTCCTCTTTGAGAATTTTCACCTCTTGACACGATAAATGTAGCCAAATACTACCTCCATTAAATGTTTTGTGCAACTTTTGCCAAAAACGGACGCTAAACATTATGTGCAACTTTCCCAAATATTTCCATTTTTGGTAAAAATTTTTTAACAAAATTACAAAAACACCCTTACTTAAAAATTTATAACCTCACTTAAATTCTTAAAAATAAAATAATTAATTATTAATCTAACCTAATTAATCTAACTATTCCTATCAAATTTATTTCATCTCCCCCAATATCTCATTGAAATCAACCAAATTACTTCATCTTTTCTGCTAAAAATTATCAAATATCTCCACATTCATACCCAAATTCTTCACCTTCATCGTCTTTCCCATTAACTCTCTCTCCTCCTCCAAACTCATTTCAAATCTGGTACTACGAAGAAGAATACGATTAAGGTTGTTGTCGGTGGGTTGGATGGGTTTTCGTTGGGGTTGTGCGGTTTCGTGGGTGGTTATAGTGGGTAGGTGTTCACGGGGGTGGGGGTTTTCGTGAGTCTAGGTTCTGGTTTGTGGGTGTTTGTGGAGGTGAGTGGGTACGATGTTCGTGAAGGTGGTTGGGTACGATGTTTGTGGATCTGCCGGTCTGGATTCTGGTGGGTGGGTGGTCGTGGAGGTGGGTGAGTACGGTGTTCGTGAGGGTGGGGGGTTCCGTCGGAAGGTCTGGTTGGGTCCCATATTCTCTCTCCTCTGATTTAATTACTCTCCATTACTTTTCCTAATCTTTGCCCCTCAAATTTCGCCTTGGTTTCCGTAAACCACTCCAAAGTTGCACAAAACATGTAACGGAGGTAGTACAAATAAGCAGAGAGAATCATGTTTAAAAAATAGACCACGTTGCAGATAAACAATGATCCCAAATAATTTCTATTGAACACCTCAAAACACACCCATATGTTAATGACACTACATGCTTCAGCAGCTCAACGTCATTTCTATTCAAGGCCAGGAAATCATTATGTCCAAAGCTATTAGTGACTTTTATGGTACAAAGCTACACCCTATCTAGTAATTCTAGTTAGTTACTTTTTGTTTGCAGTTCAATCACAAAAGAAATGCAACCCAAGGCCTTACTGACCCTTCCTACTAGATTCAGCAATTATTCAAATGGGAGATATGGCAATAAACAATCTAATTCCTATCAACTCTCACAAAATATGGATGGACCCATAACTGTTATTGTCAGGCCAAACAGAAACATAAAGCTTTTTGCAGGACATAATTTATTTAAATTTGATAAGAAATTTTTTTATATTAACAGCACAGATAAAGGGGTACAAGCAAAAGAGGACAAACAAGTGACTTCGCCCCACAACAATTCAAAAGCCAAATATACGTGTGAAAAGACCCAGGAGTTATGACCCTTCTCTAAAGCCACAAACCCACAATTCCTCATCTGTCTAATCTGGTTTGATAATTTCTCCTGAATTGACCAAACTTCGATCGTATAAGTAAAAACACTATGAAGTAGAGTCTTGTCAGATTTCTCGTAATGGGTATTTTATAAATACTTAATTTTCATATTAGTAGGAAATTCCAAATATTTGGCAATATGTAAGCGCAAATAAGAAGATAAAGTCTAGTCTAAAATTTTTGTGACCTGTTTATAACAGGTATTAAGTTCCTAAAATAAGGTGGAAGAGCGTAGCCTAAGACTCACTATTGGCAGAACAAAGCAAGTCATTAGTGTTAATCTCCCTAATGCCAAAGTTGCCACAAAAGCTCTTACCTTAAGAAGCACCCTGGCTTTTCAAAAGAAGTTTGATACTGACAAAACTGGAAACAGAGGGGGTTGATTCAAATAATTGAGAAAAAAAAAATTGCAAGAGAACGTCTCAGGTAAATCACTTGTCCACACATCATCCAATTCACCTAACTGAAAATCCAACAACTCTAGGTCAAAGAGTGAGCTTCTCTAACTCTCTATCATTCAGTGGTCTACTCTCCAAACAGCACCCCGAAAAAAGGATATGACGGTCATCCCCTACCTTGAACCTCACTAAACTGGAGAATAAATTGAACACCAAGGACAAAGATGTGTCACTATAGTTGCCACTTTTGCATCCCATCTATATTGGTGCAACCCGTATTTGCTCTTGATAAATCAATGGCAAAAGGACTGAGAATCACGAGAAAAATACCACAACCAATTTCCCACGAGTGCAATATTTTTTGGCACTACTTTCCTAAAGCCTAAAATATAAGTATACAAGAAATTACAAAAGAAAGAGGGAAAAATAAATCATAGATCACTGTCCCTGCCTTCATACTCACATTTACAGGTACATAACCACAATCAGATCCTAAAGCAGAATCGAAAATAACCCTAACCACCTTTATCAGCTTAATTAAACTCTAATTGCCTTTTCTTGTTGTCTAGAAAACTAAGAATTGAAAACTTACCATTTGCAACACATTGTTTTAAAGCCTGACCATACATAGTCATACAGTTGAAGTCATCGAAAACCCGCAGAGGAAGCACTTTAATTATAAGTAATGGGCAGAGGCGATCAAACAGCATGTTTTCCACTATATCTGAGCCATCATTCTTACAGGTCTTTTTATCTACTGTAGCATGTATTGATCCAATCATCCTGTTGGGGAGCAAAACAAAAATCTATCAGAAAACCTCAAAAAAAGACAATAGATCCCAGAATGCACCAAACAATAATGTCACTTTCTGGCAACCATTCCAAAGTATCAAAACCTTGAGAATACAACACACTTAAACGTTATAAAGATATGGATTGTTAAGCATAGTCGTTGAGGATTTAAGCATCAGAAACATTTTCCTTAAGGAATTTATTGATAAAATCAAGAATCAATAGGTGTAATTAAATGTTTGCTATCTCTACTGTGGGAAAATGTCTATCAATTAGACAAATCCCTAACGGCTATGTTCAATATTTTCCTAAAACATACCACCTTATGAATATTTAATACAACTGTCTTGCAGAACTAATAAGCCAATCATTGTACAGCAGTGGTGAATCATAAAATATGTTCACAAAACCACAAAAATTGAAGCTAGTACGAAACATTTGCTATTAAGATTCTGTTGATTCGATGGATGGAAAGCATTTTTCAAAAGAGAACACAATTACAGATAAATTTTTCCCCACCCCGCATTTGGAGAATTTAAAAAAAAATAAAATAATATATATATATATATATATATATATATCAACAGAGAAATGCTTGTGTAATGACTCTAGATGGAGCCTGCAGATACATTTCATACAAGCAATTTTTTGGCTACAATATTTCTATACAAGTTTGATTGTCCCTGGTGCTGTGCAAATATTGCATATCACAAGTTTGGAATATACCTTTACATGTCCAATATGTATTTAAAGACATTTGAAAATTCCTTCTTCTTCCATTTCCCCTCTAGGCTGAACAAACCCAGTCAAAGACCAACCAAGAGGAATTCATAAATGATATTGAAATCCACAAAATCACCTCTAGTAGACTTTCAGCACAAGAAAACAGATCACCAATAGAGTACATCCAGCATCATTAATTGATTTTTCAATCAGCCCTAATAAAATTACCAGAAGATGTGGTAGGATAGCACTGAAAGCCGTGTATACTTACTAAGCTTTTTTTTATTAATCTGTCAGGTTATGGTGGTATCTACAAGAGTATTAAAAGATAATAGCATTCATATTGATGCTGTTTGAGTTTTAGCTTACAACCAACAGTAGCGACAGAAAGTAATCCTTAAAATGAGGAATTGAGGATGAAGACAGCTAAATATATATGAATATGGAGTACTTACTCTTCTTGTTTCTGCACTTGTACAAGAATTCGCCCAAGGACAAGGTCTGCAGCGTCTGCCAGATGCTCACTTACACAACTTAAGAATCTAACAAGAATTGCATTTGTTGGCTCAGAAAACATCTTGTCTACAAGTGGCCCTACCAACAAGTTCCAATCTTGAACCTATCTCCATAAAAGAATTAAGAAATAAAAACAAAGAAAACAGAAAAGGTTTTCAATTGATGTCTCAAACAATTATACGAAGTACATTATATACACATGCATAGAACAAATTATCTTCCGCCAAAAGAAAACAAAAATTAAGAAATATAATGAATAACAAATTCTTTGAATTTGTTGGCGATTTAATAGAGAAAAGATTAATAAGAATAATCCTTCTTCTCATTTTATTCCCAATTACAATTTAACTATGAATTATCCCAACCATATGAGCACCTTTCTCAAAACAACCTCCTTTTAATGCTTACCTGTTAAACAAGTTAAAAAGGCTATATGTCAAGTTTTTAGTGACTTGCTTTTTTTTTCTTCTTTTTATAAATCTAATTTGTTATTTTTAATATATCTTTCCTTTAAAAAAAATTTAAATAAAAAAAAATAAAAAATAAAACTCTTCCTTCTACCCTAATTCACCAATTGAGTGATTTTCCCTCACTACAACTGTCCACCATAGCCACCACCACCAATCCACCATCACTACCCACATAACCACCTCTGCATTGCTGCTGGAAGCACACCACAACCCATCAATTTTATTTTTTTGTTAAAAAAAAAAATGTGGTGCAACCACCCCACACACCTTCCACAAAATCCAACCCTCAACTTCGCAACAACCATCACAGCAAAGCTTTGCACATCCTCCTCCATCAGGAAACAACATGATGGTCAGTCAAGAAAGCTTATTCATGAACCCAATCAACCATAGTTATCAGAATCAGGATTCTAACTTGGATCGGTGAGTGGGGTAGAATCGAATCGGTAAAATCGAATCGTAGAATCGTACGATTCTACAAAATTGTAAAATTGGGCTTCTAATTGTAACTAGTGACTACATACATAATTTTCAACCAATGAGAATGATAATAACATTATATTGTTGATAACATAATATCGACAATGCAAACATAAAATAGTTTTAGAAGTAATTTCGCACGCGCATAACTCAAACAGTACACTATAAAGTTGTAATATTGGTACACATTCTTAACCACGAGAGTACGAGACAATTGTTGTTAATTAAATTATGAAAAAAATAACGTTGTTGACTCGTAGAATTGTTTCCCCTAATAAAAATTCGATGATAATAGAATATTAAGTGTCAAAATAGTTCATTTTAACGAGATAGCTAAAGTATGACAACTACAACAAACTCATGTTATAAAAGTGTTTTGCCCAAAGTTGAGTGCATAAAACTCATGTTATACAGAATTTTAAAAGTTCTTTAAATTGATGTTCATAAGCTTTATTATGATTTATATTGAATAATATATAAGTCATTGACTAAAGTTAGACTCAACTATGACACCCTTACACTCTTTAGGCTATAACATAATATACATAAATGATTTAGGTACGGGACCAATTAAATTAGAAAGTAGACCTCAAGAGCTTTCCAACGATATATTATAAGCCCAATTCCGACTTCGCAATCAAAAGTTACGGGTTTCGGAAAATCAGACTTTTTGCAGGAATGGAATCGGTATAGAATCGTAGAATCGGTCCGATTCCACCGATTCTAACCGATTCTACCGATTCTACGAGCGATTCTACAGCATAGCGATTCTATTGACGATTTACATCATTTAGGTGGTTTGGGATCGTACAATCGTACGATTCTACGATCCGAATCGCGATTTTAATAACATTGCAATCAACTAATTAAGAAATCAAAGCAGATTAAAATCAATCAAAAGCCCCAAAATTATAGCTGCCGCCACTCAAACCACCGCGGCTCCGTCGTCTACTTCCCTGTGATAATTCAGGAACAAGCCGTACAGCCACCACTCAAGGTTGTTTGTTATTCCAGTGAAGGGGGTGGGGGGTGGAGAGGGAAAGCAGTCTATTATGGTAATAAACATGGAAACTAAGACAATCTGTTTATACATTGTGAGCTGTTAAGTTTTTCCAGACAACCAAGCATGATTTTTATATAAATAGGATGTCCACTATCAGTGAAAACTTACGGCTTTTGACCACTCCGGAATTAGCCTGAATACTTCATCAGGGTCATATTTTGATGATTCTGCAAGATTGACAAATGTGTGAACGTCAAAAGGAAAACTTCTGAAAAGCATTTAAACAGGACCCAAAAAAAGAAAAAAAGTTATGCATCAAGGGTTAGAAACAAGGAATTAAGGTATGATCATAGTGGAACAAAATATAGGATATAACAGTAAGTGAGCTGCTTGCAGATAAGCTAGTTAAAACAGTGCCAAATCTAAATAACATTCCTAATTTGTAGTTGGGGTCTCTATATTTAGCACTAGGTTTTCATACCACACCCCCACAAAATGGTTAAAAAATGATAGGTTTAATAGCTTTAGGCTATCACTTTCAAAATAGCACTAGGTTTTCATACCACACCCCCACAGGCAAAAGGGTTACAAAATGATAGGTTTAATAGCTTTAGGCTATAACTCTCTAACAATGCCTTGAGGCCATAACTCTCTAAGCTTTCCCAATTCAAATTTTTGGCTACCCTCTCAATATCTCTCTTCTATTTTTGTATTTACATTCTCCATCCCTAGGATGATTCTAGACTGAGCATTTGTCTCATGTGCACAGGTGGCATCACTTGCTTCATTGCATATTTTCCCTTATGTACTACATTTGATGACTACTAACGTACTAAACTACCCATATTACCCCTCTCCTAAGGCAGTTCATTACATGATCACACAATTTTTACAATATATGTTTTCAAAATGCTATTTTTACAAATTTGCCAATACATGAATTACGAACAGCAGGAATACCTTCCTTTACGCCTCCAGAACCCTCTTGATGATTGTATCTATTGTTGAGGTCGCTGAAAAAGGGAAAATTTTCCAGGTATGAGACACAATTAAAGCGTACACATTAACCATTACAATAAAACCAATAACAAGTGACAAAACGATATCGCCATTTCAAGGTTCATCAATAAATCAATCATAATGTCACGCTATTTAGCTGCATATCATTTGAACACTGCTTTCAACATAATCTAGAGTCACAAATAAACATCCCGTGACTGTCTCAGTTCTAAATTACCATAAAGAGTCGAGCAGCATCCTGATAACCTCAAACTTTGTGTTGTAAAGCCTAAGAACTTGGGCAAATGCATTGATTGCGGCTGATTTCATAGTCCCATCAGTCGTAGAAATAATGCGGACTAGTGCAGGCAACACCAAAGATGGATCTGCAAAAGAGACAGAGTTAACCAAGGATCCGGTTTTTGAACAATGACAACAATCTCAGTAGGGTCCCAGAATAATAAAACAGACCAAAATGCAACTAAAGCTGAAGGCAAGTTAGGCAAAAGTCAAGAAACCTTTACCAAATACGAAACACCTTAATGAAACTAAAAACAAAAATAAAAATATCTACACCATAGACAAGCTGCATCAGCACTAGATTTTTAAAGAGGATACACACTCTAGAGCATAATTGTACATCTCTGATCTCATTTGTTGTTCAGGGTTTTACTTATTTCGTTTATGGCAACCTATTATCCACTTTTTTTATCATCTCCTACCCCACTTTTTGGATCCATATTAATTTAATAAACCCCTCTCTCTCCTTCTAAAAGAAAAAGTACTCACACAGGTAGATCCCCTATGGCCTATTGGCTTGTTGAGTTCTTTTTGGATTCTGATGCTGTACGATTATAATAGGTAGTAAATTTATTTTACATTTATGGCGTACTTTTGCTTCCATTACTGTTATTAACTTAATGTTTAGAGAACCTTTTTATATTTCTTACCTTTTGCCTCTTCTTTTATGGGGTCTTTGAAAACAAAAGGCAAGGTATGTAAATCATGACCTCAAACCTTATGTGAACAAATCTACAAAAGTAGATAGAACTATGTGTAATTCCAATTTTACACCATATACCCTTTGCATTACAAATGCCTCTTACATGATCAAATTAATTTAGTTCATTCTTACAGTTCAAAATAGAGGCACTATCGGTTTCAAAACTAAATAATATAAAAAAGTGAAACCCAAAATCATTTTCAAAAAAAATAATATAAGAAAGTGAAACCCAAAATCAACTTTCATTATCACACTGTCGATCTCACCCACTGACAGGCCATATAATAAATATTATGTTTCAATTCAAAAGAATGGTAACGTACATCGCCAATAGCAGGAACACCTACAGGGACCCTTTTCCCACACTAATCCAGGTTTTGAAAGTCAAGCAAAAGTTCCTTGGATGCAGATACTTTTTACCCTTACATATGCTGCTACAGTAGATGCCTAGATGTAATCTTAGTCGAGGAAAATTGACATCGGATGTTGGGTTTCAAGAGCTGTAACAGAATTGATACAGTCCTCATCAATGTAAATCACACTAATCAGCACCTAAAGGAAATGCAAAAGTCAAAAGGCAAAGCTATTGCATAAAATTGTTCTAAATAATTTAATATAGGTCTTTTTTTTTTTTTTTTTTTTAATTCTCCTCACTTCTACTATATTCAATATTTGGCAAATTATCTTTACTCTCTCTCTCTCTCCACCTATTTCGGCACCCACCCACATATTTACTCCATCACTCTTACTTTATCCACCTTTTTCTTACACTCTTACTTTATCCACCTTTTTCTTACAACCACTGAAATTTTACATATGATATAATACCTGCATATCTAAAGTAATTCAATAATAATAATAAAATAAATAAATAACTAAAAAACTAAAAAATAAAAATAAAATAAAATAAAATAAAATAAAAACCCGGAGGTAGTATGAGAAAATTGGTATTTAATGAAAAAGTTTATTTTTGCAAGCATCTCCTGGAAAGTTTCGTCATGTTGTGCAAAAGAACCCTTCAAATTCAACTAAGAAAACTAGGAGTTCATGAAATTGACACCAACCTATAAGTGGAAGCAAACTTGTTGCCTTGGAGCGTATTAAATTATCTTCATCTCCGAGGCAATCCAAAAGTTGGTTTGCTATGTCTGGCCTAAAACAGAAATTGCGTTTAACCAAAATAAATGCATAAATATCCATAAAAAAAATATATAAAAAATGCATTACTAATAAAACATATTGGCATACCAGAATGAACTGGCAGTCACTTTTGTCGAGTTTGATGACAAGCGGATGAGTTCGGAGATGACATCAGCAGCATTACTCCTCTGAGCTATGCTTCCAGAAGCTAACCGTTTAAGGACTTCATTAAGGCACCAATCATCTGAACTTCTGGAAACTCATCAACACAACACTTTACAACATAGATGTGGTGGTAAAGTTGGAAATAGACAATGTAAAAGAATGATGATACAAATAAAACGAAATAGATGAGATTATTACATTGAGCAAAAATCAGCAATGAGAGCAGTGACAGCTCTGGAAGCACCATCGCGCTCATCCAGAAGGCCCAGCAGTGGCATTAAGAACTCCTTGCAATCTATTGGATCATTGAAACTACTTCCAGCAATCTTAAGGATAACAAACCTAAAGATGCAAACTGCAACATTTACCACATCTTCATCTGCACAGTGAAGCTTCAAGAAGCAGAGAATTTCAAAAACTAATTTAAAAACACTAGGTAATAGAGAGCTGGGTGAGAGTGAAGACTTGCAAAGTGCCATAATTTACCCAAAACTACCAATTTCAATTTTCAAAAGCCATAACTAGACAATTAATGGGAATAACAAAACAAGATCAACCAGAATTCTCAGTAGTCATATATGTGGATCAACTTGCAACACACTAGTTTTACTCTTAGGGCCATTAGAAACCTATTTGGTAGCAAACGGTTGTAATGATAATGTAGTTAAGTATGAAAATCTCATGCCAATGTCATGGTAACATAAATTTATTAGAGTTACAAACAAAATCAGAGCCTTGATCCCAATGCTGGGGTTAGCTAAATGAACAAAGAATTAATATCTCGTAGGCTTCAGCGAAGATCATCTCTCTCCATGCCCTTCCAGCCCAATTTGTTTATATCATTTCCAACTCCCTCTCCATCCAAGTCACCTTTGATCTCCCTTGGCATCTTCTAAGATCCCAACTCCCTACTTTCCTTACCAGTGCATCTTCTGCCCAAACCAATGCAATCGGTTCTCCGTTATTTTATCCTCACAGTCCAGAACTCTAACTTTCCTCCAAATATTTACATTCCTAATATAATCCCTTAAGGTGTTCCCACACATTTATCTCACCATATCCATTTTTGCTACTCACATCTTAATATGATATCTCCTAGCAACACAACATTCCGACCCAAATACATCACTGGTCTACAAGTCGTCCAACAAAATTTCCCGTAATCCTTAAGGGTATATTATGACTACACAATATCCTAGTCGCTCTCCAAAAACTCAAACTTCACATCTTCACAAGACTCCCTCTAGCTACTAAAACGAAACTTCTAGCACGAATTTATAAACATGTCATTATATATACAATGAGAAGTTACTTAAAATGAGAAGGATTTTATGTGCAAATATTTTGTAATGAATGTGCATATATTTTTAACTAAATGTTAAAAAACATTTAACTGAAATTCAGTGTGCATATTTTTTTGTGCATAACGTACATAAATTTTCGTTTTTCCAAAAAATTAGAAAAAAGTAAGTCGAAAATTAAATTTGCACTCTTAGTAGAAAATATATATATTAAGTAGCATGGTAAAATGAAACTTAGTAAAATGGGTAGAATAAAATAAAATTAAAAATAAAAAAAACGCCTCCAAATGAGGTAGAGAAAACCCTTCAAAACAAAAAGTGGTTAAAACAAGAGAAAAACACCTCAAAACAAATAGTGGGTAGGATAAAATAAAAAAAACCTAAATAAAAGTGGGTACAAAAAAAAAATACTCATAAGGATTAAGTTAATCTAGCAATAATAAGTGTAGTTCGGAATAAATAAGTCTAAGCTCGACACACAGAAAAAAAAAATAAATAAATAAAAGGTTACTTAAGTAAGAAAAAGGAAATGTTAAGCTAAGCAAAATAAATAAAAAGTTTGACAAAAATAGGTTGGGAATCATGGAGCCTTAATTGATTAGAACAATAAAGGGCCCATTAGAAGGGTGAAAGAAAAGGAAAGAGAAGTTTGAGTGATGCTTTATAATGCCTAATACCTAATAGACATCATACCAAACATATACTACCTCCGTCACCGAAAGTTTTAAACACAAACTATTTAAAAATAAGGCATTTGGAAAGAGGGTGATGGTGTAGTGAGTGGATGTAAGAAAACGTTACGTAGAGAGAAAGAAAGATGGTAAAAAGGTAGGCAGACATAAGAAAAAAATAGATGAAGTAAGAGATAATGAGTATAAAGGTTATCTATAACAGGGGGTGAGTTAGTAAAAGGGGCTTGTCAAAAATGGAAGGGCTTGTCATCTAATTTGGAGCAGAGAAAGTATTAAATAATCTATTGAACCCACTATCATAATATTTTAAGTTTACTATCAAATCTCTAATATACCCCACTACCATAAAATTTTAAGCACCAAATACAATTGTCATAAAATTGTAGAAGCTATTGTGTCACTTAATCACCCCACCCCCCATAGTAATTTCATTCCATTTCTTAAGTCACCCATACAACAGCACACCAACCACATATCACCACACCCACCACCACTTCCCTACTAGCACCATACCAACCACAACCGTCTAACCACCACCACCACCTTCACCAGCTCCACCCTGCCACCGCCACCGCCACCCTCACAACCACCACTTGTACCTAGAAGCCACTCATAATAAAATAAACCTCCATAAAAACCACACCCCAACCACCTTGCCACTCCATAGCCACCCATCCCAACCACCCATAACCACATCCCACTCTCTCAAAACAACCTACCCATCCCAAAGCCACCCCCACCCACCCACTGGAAAGACCTCCCCCTTCCACTGAAGAATCACAACCACCACCCAAACCCACAACCCTAAATTTTGAAAGAAAAAAAAAAAAAAAGGAAAAGAGATTATTAATAGGAAATTACCTTTTTTTAATCGTCATTTGTGGCTTTGGACGACTAAATTTGACCATATTTTTCATGGACGAATTTAAGCATTAAAACCTCAAATTTCAGCTTAAATGATGGTTATGAAACAACAAAAAAGAAGGAGAAGAAAGAGGTGGCCAGGAGGCGGCAACGGAGAGGCCGAAGGCGGCGGTGGCAAAGCAAGGCATCACCATAAGAATAGGCGAAAAGGTGGTAGTGCGAGAAAGAAAGAGGTGAATGGCCAAACACTATCAAACAACTCTATCAAAGGGTTTTTCTTTCCTTTCCTTCCCTATCCCTTTCTTGATTCCATTCCCACTACCCCGTGCTAACCAAACGCTCCCTAATAGTGTTGAGAACTTTATGAAAAAAAAAAACTTCAAAGAACAGAGGTATTATAAGATAGAGGAAAAGCGAAAAGGGAAAGGATATAGCCATATAGGAATTGAAGCAACAAATTGAAATACCTCTCACAAATATAGGGTCTACAAGAATATATCTTACCAGTGATAAAAGAGCACGAGAAATCCGTTGTCCATACAAAGATGTTGTACTTTCCCGAAATTTTTGGTCCAAACGACCCAATAAAAGGGCCAAACAATTTAAGAAAAACTTCATTGTCTCTACACAGCTATCTTTGTTTTCCACATAATCCTTCAGATTGTTCTCTGAGTAAAACTGCATAAACCATGTCAAACAGCCTAATATTACTACTACAGGTAGGACAAAGCCCAGAAGGACTAACTGAAGCATGATAAATAAAAAGTTAAAGAGGATATTTTCTCCAAGCAGATTTACGGTATATTCTACATCCTGGTTCTGTATATAATGACTTCATGATCTGCACAATGTCATAGTCTCTGAGACTCACACGTGGAAACAAGATTATGACATTGTGCAGATCATGAAGTCATTATATGTTAATTGCATGCGCACAACATGCATGCAGCTTAAGGAAGAGGGTGCACCATTTACAGGAGAAAGAGTGTATATACTATGTTCTGTTGTGATGCTCAGACTTGTCATTTTAACTTTGCATACATGTGTTGACCTTTTCATTTTTATTTTGACTAATTAATTGTTATCTAATTTACATTACCAAGCACTCCCTCCGTCCCATAACAGTTCAAAATTATGTAGGAAAGTGGATGCTTTAAGAAACAACAGGGTATTTTATTTAATCGACAATTTCTTGAGGTAAAATCCACACACACATATATACAAATATCTCTATTATATAAGCCAAAGGGATAGGTTAATGTTGGGAAAAAAAAAAAAAAAAAAAAAGTCGAGATTTATTCACGACGAATCCTTTCGAATTTCCAGATAATAGACATAATTCAGAAATAAAAATCATGATTACAATTATTGATATGAAAGCAAATAAATATCTTAAAATCGAAAATGTATTTAGTTTCAAGCTTAAAATTTTAGTATTACTTCAGTCGTAATGTAATTTCAATTATTGTTACTTCCTCCAATTTTTTAATATTGCACCACTTGCCTTTTAAGGAAATTTCACAAATATTACACCATATCCATTTTAGGAAAAGAAATATTTATGTTCACACTGCACATCCCTAATTTAACCTTACTTTTCAACACTCGATTTTTTAGTTATGTATACAATCACATGAGAAATTTTGTACTTATACCACTCTCCCATATCTTTTCCACTACCAAAAAACTTGTGCCCAACCCCTATGGTTCAATAATAAAAGAACGGAGGAAGTATTAAAATCGATAATTATATTTCTCAAAATTCTAGCAAAAAAATTATATTCTTCCTTTGTAAAGACTTTGCAACTTAGTTTAATTGGCTAATCATTCATTTTGTTTCTCAATTATAAATTATTACATGAAATTTAATGAAGAAACCAAATTAACTATCACGTTAAAATATTTAAACCACTTGACCAAACATTAACCATCATATTTGACAAACACTCAAATCAAATTTTGTATTCTTTGTATGTGTATAAACTAGATACTCCCTCCGATTTTTAAAAATGCATCACTTTGACTTTTGCACTAGTCATATACAATGTTTGACTTTATATTTTTACTATTATAAAATAAGTAAATGTTATTATATAATACATCATTAGATTAGTCACATTGTCTATTTTCATAATTTAATTTTGTTACAAATTTTACTAATAGAGAATTACAAATATTATTGGTCAAAATTACGTCTCGTCAAATGTGGGTGTTGGTTAAACTGATGCATTTAAAAAAATAGAGTGAGTATGTTATTAAATTTTGGTAGCAATTTTTCATATAATTTTGTATTATGATATCTTACAACTTTACAAGCCTACTCAAACTTCTAGGAATTTATGAGTACAGAAGAAATTATTGTCTTTTCGTATTTTTACGTTTGTATACTTAGATTTGCAACTATGTTAATAAATAGGAGAAATCCACAATTTAACATTTCAAACAACAACTTAGACTACACAATATGACACTACCTTCGTGAAATCCAAGAAAGGCCACAAAATCATGTGATTTACCCACAAAAACCATGTGCACAAGGAACTATAATGTTATATTCTACAGAGTATTTGCATTTGCATTCTGAATCCGATCCGAATCGTTTAGCTAAAATGGGATCGTAGGATCGTACGATCCTACGATCCGGATCGCGATTTTGACAACAATGGTTACAATTAGGTTGGAATCACATTAAAATTAATTTTGAGTGTAGGACGTTGTTGGTTACTTGGTTATACCCTTCGTAAAATTATTTATTTTGAGTAATACTAATGATAATTCTTTCTCACCCTTCTCATCTCTACACCTCTACAGGATTTTGATGTTTTTTCCATCTAGTTTTGATGTATTTATAGTGTATTATCATTGTATCCGCAATGTATTTGAGAGAGATCCAATGAGAATAAGTCCCTATGTGAGTACACTATGAGAACAGATCCAGGAAGGATTAGAAGAGATCTAAGACCTAAATTAGCTGTGTTCAATATTGGAAAATTTGTAAATAAACAATAATATCATTGCCAAAATTAAACACTTGGATATATGTAAGTTCATGAAGAGCTTGACGACATCAACACATATTAAAAAAGTTTACAAATCCAAAACTGATCTTTGATAACATAAATGATCTCAATTATCAATTAAAGACCCATCACACAACCATACACTAATTGAGCTATTATAACCAAGCAAAGCTTCCTACTCGTTTAGATTAGTATTTCAGAATACTAAGTTCAGCTGGAACAGTCATATCAGCATAACCTTTGATTTGCAGCAAAATGAAAAAAGTCAAGAAACAATAAACAAACCTCGATTCCAGATAAATACTGTTCTACTAACTCATTGACACGTTGGTAAAACTGAATGTCTTCTAGAAGAGATAGCATACTGTAATGTTTCCAGCAAGAGGAGAGAAGTAGTACTCCAGTTGTTTGAAATTGAGAGGCTGTTTACATTTAACAGACTTAGAATCAGATACCAAAAAAAAAAAAGAAAAGAAAAGAAAAAAGACAAATACAAAATGTGTAGTTAAAAAAATATATTGTAAAGGGTTTGAAAGCAGAGATGGTACACCAGACCTGACTCATGATCCTCCAGTCGAGTGCTATTACCATCTATCTGCTGCAACCACTTAAGAACTTTCCCTAATCCTTTCGCATGTAATGTCCGACTCTTTTGGCTCCACTGCACATATAAATAAACAGCATTGCATGTTTGCATCAACAAAAGGCATCAAATCATGAATATCTAATTATCTATCAACACGAATATTGGACTAAATGACTGCAGTAATAAACGAAACTGTAAACTTGTATTTAAAAAAAGTCATTATGAGTGTATGACCACAATAATGTTCAATAAAAGGTGAATCCCACAATTTAATGTCAGAACGATGATACCTATATGCTGCATGCTAAGATTGTATTTCACAACTGAGGGAGCCCAGGTTACACACTTTGATAAACGTTTTATGTTTATCAAATGGCAATTCAGTATATATTTTGCTTCGTTTTCCGCAAAATGGCTTTAAAAAATACTTTTTGGCTCTGTTGTCACATGCAATGAGGGACCCCTGTTTAACGCCAATTTAACGTCTAGAAGTTAATTGAGTTACTTTTTTTAGAAGAGAGCGTAAAAAAAATATATAAAAAAAAGTCTGACAAAAACTAATACTCCATCTTCTTCATAAATGCAGCAGCAATCCAGCGGCCGGCGAACGATTGCTCCACCATCAGCTTGGTTTTTTTTTTTGTCCTTTTCTTTTTCCTATTCCACCTCCTTCATCCTCTAACTTCTTCCTCCTCCACCTTCTTCTTGCTTTACTGCTCCTTCATTGTAGTAGCTCATGAACACCACTTTCACCACCACACTTTCGGCGTCGAAACGAAAACCCTAATTATAAAGGGTGAAAAGAATGGTATGGTTTGCCCTAAGTGGAAAGGGTTGCGTCTTGCTACCCAACTATCAGTTGAATGGTAATTGCCCACCTTCAATTGTTGAGTGCTCTGATTCAATCAGCTCCAAAGGTCGATTACTAAGGTTCGACTTCTCCACCTCCAAGGTTCAAGTTCTCTAGTAATTGCACCACTCCAATGGTTCGAGTTCTCAAGTAGTTGCCCACCTCCAATTGGCTCTAATGGTGATTAAAGGAGAGAGGAGAAGAGAGAAATTAAAGGAGAGAGGAGGAAAGAGAAATTAAAGGAGGAGAGAGAAAATGTCACCATTGCCTTTACTTTTCTAGATGAATGTACAACACTGCCCCTTGATAAACAGGCCATGTTTCTCATTGTTATAAACTTGAATTTGCTCTTTCACAATTGTTATGAACCAACTTAGGGGAGGGGCATTATGGGTAGTTTAGTATTGTTAGTAGTCATCAAATGTAATATAAATAAGGGAATATATGCAACAAACCAAGAGATGCCACTTGTGCACATGAGACAAAAGCTCATTCTAGAATCATCCTAGGGCTTGAAACCATTCACATAAATAGAGAGAGATGAGAAAGGATTAGGTAGGCAATTGGTGAAAGAGTTTTAGGAGTCTTGTTACCTGAAGCCACTAACTTGGAGAATGGTACCCACAAGCTACCAATCACTACCTTAGTATTGTTAGTAGTCATCAAATGTAGTATAAATAAAGGAAAATATGCAATGAACCAAGAGATGCCACATGTGCACATGAGACAAAAGCTCATTCCAGAATCATATTAGAAATTGGAAACATGTACATATATAGAGAGATATGAGAAAGGATTAGGCAAGAAGATCATGATTTTATTCCTATAAGAGTTGTGACCTCAAATCACTATATGGAGAGTGGCAGCCTAAAGCTACCGTTGTAAGAAATCTTTTGCCTTGTAATAAAAGACTCGATCTTTTTTCCTAACTCTTCTTACTTCTTTGATAAATCTCAATTGTGAGCTTGAATCTATCATAACAACTCACATCATCAATAGTCAAAGAACCCACTATCCTCCCTTTTCCACCCTAGCATATTCCCAACCTCCCTCTTCTCTATGGATGCCCCATTCCTTTTACAAAAAGGCATCATAATTAGCCAAATAAGATATGTTGGCAAGGAATGAACAAAAGATATAAGGCCTTTCGACAATGCAATTGCATTGTCAAAAGCACCCAATATTACTTAAACAATTATACTTCTACGATAAGTTGCTTAACCAAAATTATCTGGTGAGATTTCAGGGAGGGGAGAGGGCTTGTAGCAAAATGTTAAACCTAGCAAGCTTTTACCCGGCCAAAAATGACCCCAAAAAGGACCAAACTAAATTGGGCTTTGAACAAAAAATTATTAAAAAAACCCAGGAGTGAAACATTATGCTACATACTTACGAACGATACCAAAGCCTAACCAAATGGAGAGTGTGGAGCCATTCACAAAGTTTAAGTATGAATCTATGGCTGCAATGGGAATGTCGCATTTTAGGGGAATTTATAACACCCTAATTATGTGTTTCTCACACACGGAATAAGACTCGGACCTAATTAGTAATCAAACCCTCCTAATAAACAACAAGATCTTTTTTGTTATAATCTTACAAGATCATTTCAATGCTCCTAGATCATTGAAATCTATTGCCGGAGTATGGTTTGCTCTTTAAGAAGTAGAAATAAAACTGATAGTACCAATTTTGAGACAGTTTCACAAACAACCACATAGGAGGAGGCACAAACGATGCAATTAGTGATCCAAAGGATAGGAGGAGCAAGCAATAATCAGATACAAGCTTGCTTTGGCTCCAACCAGTTTAATGATTTCCTTAAAATTAAGGGAATCCCAAATAGTGGATAATGAAATATTTGGATCAAGGTCTAATAATTAACAACTGTTTGCAGTACTCCAGAAGTCCAGGAAGAAAAATGTACATGGAATGTGCTGGGTGCATTTGGGTTGTAATACCAGCACTACTTTCCTATAACCGGAGAATATTTTCCCCATGATACTTTAATTTTCAATGGAGAAAAGAATGAATTTAAGACACGAGTAGCATAAAGGAGTCCACACTTCACATAGTGCTTAAAAAATAGTGCTTTTTGTAGATGACAGCTGATAGCCACTACCATCACCGCCTAGTAGCTAGTACATTCGGAATCAAAGTACAACTGAGCTAACATCAACAATCAATCTCTACAGCAGTACAAAGCAGTCTAATTTTAAGTCATAGCACCTTATTTACCCAAACAATTATCTATTTATCTAAGGTAGGTCTTCCTAACCACAGCTCAAACTAATACCATAGTGCAGTTATACTATCCTAAGGCTACACATTTAATTTTTCTTCACAAGATATATCATGGTTGGTAGCTTTAAGCTTAAATAACCATTGAGTGATTTTACTTCACGAATATAAAAGAGAGACTAGTTACTTAAGTCAGACTGCAAACGTCACCATCCAAATTTTATCAACACTATACCGTTACCCAATTGTATGAAAAAATAATGACATTTTTACAGATGGCATGTTCAATCACAAAATTCATCTCTGTTTATCACTTTTTTTTTTCTTTTTTTTGAACTAATTACTTGCAGCAACAGATGGCAAAAATTGTTGATTGCAGTACAACAATTTCTTCCAATTGAAACAAATTTAGTAAAAAGAATACAAGGCTGAGTTGTAAACATACTGACTGAAGTTTCTGAACAAGAACAATGAGTTGATCCAAATTCTGCCAGAGCAACAATCTTCCATCAATGCTGATGGAGGCTTCAAATGACATATTATTTTGTTCCACCTGCTTCTCTTCAAAAATGCTGATTGGCTTATTAGGTTTAAATGCTCCTTTTTCATTTAAATTGCCAGACTCCAATAGTTTTTGGGTCAACGCTTCAGTGAGAACTAATATACAATCTGCAGCAGCTGCTGAAAGCCGAGTTGGCAGTTCAAAACCATCCTGCAACACACTAAAGGTGGTATAGTTTAGTGACACAATATGTATACAAAAATACACTATTGTTTTATATAAAGATTAAAACAACTAACACCATCAAATTCGAAGGACTACAGTTTAATGGAACAAGGGAGGTTAAGTGTCATCCCTTAACTTTGGAAAGCTCTTAGCAGTCCACATATAAAATGAGGCAGATGCAAAATATAAAATGCTCAAGGCGCACTGAAGAGAGAGGGGTTCTGCAGCACCTAGGTGCTCCTGCGCCTCTTTGAAGTGAGGCGCACTATATGGCCAGTTAAAACATTTTGGCTGAAGTTTGGTTCATGTGCGCCTTGTGCACTTATGGTGCGCCTCGTGCGCTTTTTGTGTGCCTAACCAAAAACGCCTCGCCTAGACCAAGTTAAGCGCATACCCCTCATCGCCTTGTGCCTAAGGCACGCTTTTTAATACACTGGGCAGATGCATATAGAAAACTGTTGTAGTTAAATTGGAGAAATCCGAAGGCTACACCAATCTGTGCCCGACAGAGATAGACTTTCCATTCATCAAATGAAAACTGATATGTAAATTATGACACCAGCAGTACATTTAATCCACAATATGCAATGGTGAACAACATACCTACCGTTTTTTACCATTACTGAAAGATGTCCAATACTTGATGAAAGGATCTTCAATAAAGCTTGATGGTTAAATTTGAAACCTGGGATGGAGAACATAAATAAGTAAATATATTAAAGTTAAGCAAAATACAACTCCTACTACATAATACCTCCAATTCACAATAGATGCAACGTTTTGAGTTTTGCAATATTCATTTATTAACTTTGACTACACTAATGAGAAGTTTCTTAAAAAGGATGAGATGGATACATGTGCAAAGTTTTTCACTGATTATGCATTTTTTTCCATTAAATGTACAAAATTGACTTACAAGTTAATTTTTTTTCAAAATATATGCACATTGAATTTGAGTCAAAATTATTTTGCACATTTAGTAAAAATTAGTTGTAAATAAAATCCTTCTCATCTTAAGAAACTTCTCTATAGTAAGAAGGATGAGAAGGATTTTATGTGCGTGGAAGAATGAGAAGGATTTTAAGCGCATAATTTACATTTCAATTTTCATCGGTTTCACAATATAATACAAAAGTCAAAACAATGCTCTATTGTGAAACGGATGTGGTATTAATTTTCCAATTAGCTAATCTATAATAAGTAAGCCATGATCAAGCCAAAAATCTCACTAAAGACACTAATACAAAATCACACATTAATTTCATCCTCTACGCTTAGAAAAATATAATTCAATATAGAGTACTTTAGACTTTCTAAATGAAGGTGATGTATCTACAGCTAGAGCTAGGGATGTCAATGAACTGATGCTCTCTGACAAAGCTTGTTCATTATTAGTAAACAAGTCTAGGTTGAACAAATAAGTACTCACTACATTTAGGCTCGCAAATAGCTCTTTTAAAACTCATTCAAATTGCGTTATATGAATTACTCCCTCTGTCCAGATTAGTTTTGAAACTCATAAGGGCTCGTAGTTTTAGTTATTGTTTAGTTATTGATTGTTGTGGTGGTGTGTAAGTTGGAAAAGGTATAAGAGAATGAGTGGAAAGATGTATCCAAAATTGGAATAAAGTAAAAGTGTAAAGAACTTTTAAAAACGGACTGCTAAAATAGTAAGTGTTATAAAACTAAGGAACAAAGGTAGCGGTAAATATCACAAAAGATAACTAGAATATACTTCTACTCAGCTATTATAAATACACAATTAAGAAAATATTGAAAAAGTTCAGTGGGTGTAAGATAAAGGTAAGAGAAAAAGTAAAAAGGTATGTGCGTGTAAGAGAAAGATGAATAAAATGAAAAAGAGGGTATGAAACGGTGCAATTGTTGTGGGGCAAACGGGGCAAGATAGTAAAAGGGGTAGGCTTAAAATAGAATAAAGCAAAGTGAGTAAAACAAAATGAAATGCACTAAAATGAAAAGCGAATAGAACAAAAAAAGAATAGAGTAACTAACTAATTACATATTATCGGAATTAGTTATTTTTAATATTATTTTTGCAAGGAAAAAAAAAACATGATTATAAATGCCCGATTAATTTGATCTTACTCGTTCACCAAGGCTCATTTATTAAAAGCTAGTATATATGATTGTAGCTTGGCTCAAGCTCTATCTCGAATTAAACGAGCTACTCGTGAGCTAAGCTTGAAAAACTTAATACCTAAACGAGCCAACATAAATCTCGGTTGAGCTCAAGCTCATCTATTTCATATTAAGCCCAAGTAAAAAAGGCTAATACTCTTCATATTAAGCCTAAGTCCACTATCCAGCTTTTTAACAACCCTAACTATAGCCAATAGTAAATTACATTAAACACCATAAAGACAGTTATGAAAAGATGCAAAGTCACACTTCAATATATTTCTTTGATGGGCCAAGAATGCATCAGCTTCCCCCCCCCCCCCCCCCTCTCCAACTCCCCTGTGGGAATGACATAAAGGCAGAGAAGAATGACAAATTGGGGAATGTAGCCTAAATGTCTCAACTAATTGATCGATTTTCATACATTACTCAAAAGCTATAGTTAAAGTTGGAATATGAATAGTGAAAAAAAAGTCAAAATGTGTCAATTATTATGGAACGGAGGGAGTAAATGTATTAACATTTTAATTAGCACATAATAGAAAAAGGATCTAGGAAATGCAGCGCTATTGTCATCAAAAGTAAGTTATCATACAACTCAACATCTCTACTATAAAAGTATAAATTTAATAATTCAATTCACTCGGTAAGCTGGCATAAACTAATATCACTTTTTTTTATGTAAAAAAAGACTAACCATTCTTTGAAAAGCTTGTCATTTTTGTATCATACATTACAAGCGAGCGTACAAGCTTGCACCAGCCAAGTGCAATATATCGATCTTCCCTCCTTGATATAATATTGACAAAATCCTTTGCAAGTGGCAAAAAAAGAGCTTCATCTTGAAAGAGCCAGTTCAAGAGAATCATTGTCTGATTGGGATGCTTCGACTCCTTGCACCTCAAAAGCTGCACGTAAAATAGGGTAAAGATGAATCAAAGAAACATTTCTAAAGCCCACAACATATGTGTAAAAGCTTAAATTTTTGGAACAAGTTTGTTACTAGAACAAACACAAAAGTACGAAACGTATACTCAACCAGAACCAACAAATCATAGTTCATAATAGGTCAGTTATTGATCACAGGCTCAGCAAATTGCAACTAGCCCAATAAAAAATTGAGAGCCTAAGGACTGCCAACATAACAATCGGAAAATGAAGAATGAATATGTCATTTATAATGCACCAGCAGAATCACCTCCTTACAAACCAAGTGAGCATTTCATTAGTGAAGAGGACTATAGAGAAAGTCAGTCAATCGAACTTCCAGCACTTAAAATTCGGTGTGAGGATCAACTCCGTAACAACTTACACAAGCCACACTCTAATAACCTTCTAACTCAATATTCCAATATTCTTCTAACATAGCATTCAAAATTGACAGATACAGGCATACATATACAAAACATCTCTTTCTCACAACAATAATCTATCATTTTCATTTTAAAACTGATTAGCCTCTTTCTGCAAGTCTGCAACATTTCCCGTTCATTTCCAAACCACTCCTAAACTCGCCAAACACAACCCTTAGCAGGACAATCACTAGGCGATCATCAGCTTGATAATCAAACATAACAATCTTTATTTTCATAACTATAGTAATCATATTACTTTCTACCATCCATATGACACCAATTCCGCAACACGAATCACAATTTTCAATCAATTCAAGAATAACCAAAAGGAGAATTAAAATGCAAACATTAAACTATAGAGATATAAAATCCATTACATTTTCAATCATAGGAATAAGAACTTCGTCTAATTGCTTTTCTTCATCAACAGCGTCTCTCACATACTTATTCAAAACGCGCAGAGATTCATCTAGTGTAACTGCAACAGAAAATAACAACCAAATCATCAAATTTCATACAAAATTCCCGAAAAAATGAAATAAATAAATAAATTCTATTAATATTACCAGCAAAAGTTGATTTTGGAGCTTCGCCGAGTTTAAAAATGGCGTCTTCAAGCTTCTTCGGTCGAGAGGTAAGCAGCGTGTTCATCACTCGACCAACCATTGAAGAGGTTATTGAATTGGATTCTGATTGCCATATAACTGGTTCGTCTTCCATTGAAAAGCAGGTAGCAGAAATCAAAGGTTAGAATATGGAACCCTAATTATACTGATAGTGCTGAATTTGAAAGCAGCGAAGGAAATTTCTGGAGATTGGAAGAAGGGGAAGGTTGAAGAAAGAAGAAGATGTTGAGGAGTACCAGTCCTTATTTGTACAACAGTCAACAATTAAATAGCATTTAAATAAAAAGCAAATGTTAAAAAAAAAAAAAAAAAAAAAAAAAAAAAAAAAAAAAAGGGACAGCATTGCGGGTCTTTTTTGTCATAATTTGTCTAAAATTAATGAGGTCGCCTCATTTACTCAACATGAGAAATAAAATTTGTTTCTTAAGAGGCTAAATTTGTACAATTACAGGTAAAACTGTTACTTTAAGTAACGGTTTATGGGCAAAACCGCCACTTCAAGTAGCAGTTTATGGCAAAACCGCTACTTGAAGCGATATTGCCAATGAACAGTAAAAAAATAAGTGCTTTTATTTATGTTTTTGCCATTTGAGAAACATAGTTTGTTTCTCTTGTTGAGAAACTTGGAATTTCTCCAAATTAATTGTTACTAGATGAAGCACGTGCGATGCACAACTTGTTTGTATTTTTTTGAAATGAAATATTTTACTAAATATATAACTTTTCTAAAACTTTGTGATATTCACTTGCTTACTACTTCAATTTTTTTTATTATAAAATGAATTATTAATTTTGTTTATCTATTTAGATAAAATTCCTAATATAAAAATATAATATTTTATTTCACAAAGTAATTTTTATTTTTTATTAAAATCCTATGTATTGCTTTAAAAAAAACCTAATCTTACATGGCATAATCCTATTGTAACGTTTTAAAAATATTAATCCTATGTGGCGCTCTGATAAATTTTTTAAATTAAAATCCTACGTGGCTCTCTAAAAACTCGAAAAAAAAATCCCCTTTATATATATATATATATATATATATATATATATAGGGGAGGGATCCGGTAAGAACCATCCTCTGTATAAGAACTCAATCTTATATAAGAATAAATCTCAACCGTAAGATTATATTGAATTACACGGTCAAGATTAAAGGAAATCAAGTAATAAGATAATAGAACAAACCACTCTTGGTATATAAACCCTAATTTTCTCTCTCCTCCAAAAAAATAGTCGACATTTTCTCTCTCCTCAAACTTTCTCTCTCTTCAAATTCCCAAAAAAATTCATTTTGTGAGCATTTTGAACGGATTTTCAGCGATTTAAAGTATATTTGTTCTATTTTTCAGCAATTTTTATCATATTCGATTTTTATGAGCGATTTTTATTGTACATTATCATGTTCGATTTTTATGAGCGATTATAATGTGCGATTTTTATTATACATCGATTTTCATCAGCGATTTTTTGTTCATCAATTTTATTCTAATAAATTCATTTATTTTTTTTCAAGAATTTTCGATTTTTATCAGCCAATTTTCGTCGTACTTTCAATTACATAATTCACGACTTTGGGACTACTAGAATTGGCACTTTTGGCTGCTCATATAATGGTAAATACTTGTTCGTATTTATCTCTAGTGTTATTTTGTGGAGTAGATTTTTTTTGAATTATGTTTGCTTGATATTTTAACTTCCAACTTTTATCATTGTTTTTTAATTACTTGTAGTATTATTCTGATATAATAAGCTGAGAAGAAAGCCTTGGGAATTCAAAATTTGAGTTTAGCTTTAGGAGTTAAGCAACTTACAGCAGAAGGTGGATCATATATAAAAATAATAAACCCAATTTGGCATTCACAAAGCTATAATGGTTTTCTTATGTTCAATTATCAGTATATGATACTTCGTCTTAGATATGATGTTCAAAAATTTGAAACTTAGGAAAAAAATTTAACATAGGAAGAAAAAGAAAAAGAATTAGAAAATAGGTTAGAATATAAGTAAAAAACAAAGTTACGTGGGAGATCATTATATGATTAGAACATAGGAAAATAATTGAAATGTAAGGAGATAAAATTTAGAACATAGGCAGAAAAATTTAGAACATCGACAGGAAAGTTTAGATTATAGAAAAAAACATTAGAACATGAGGGAAATTTTTAAATATAATTTTTAGAACATAGCTAGAAAAAATCTAGAATAAAGGATAAAATTTTGGAACACAAGGAAAAATATTTAGAATAGAAGGAAAATTTTCTTTAAACATAGACATTTTAATTTAGAACATAGGGAAAAAAATTTGGAACATAGGAAAAAAAATTATAACTTAGACAGAAAATTTTAGAACATAGAAAACAAATTTTAGAACGTAGGGAAATAAATTTAGAACACAGACAAAAATTTTGAACATATGCAAAACAGTAGAACATAGGGAAAAAAATTTAGAACATAGACAAAAATTTTAGAACATAAAAAAATATTTAGAACATAAGGAAAAAAAATTTAAATATGAAAAACAATTTAGAACATAGATTGCTAAATTTAGAACATAGGGGAAAAAATTTAGTACATAGATTGATAAAATTAGAATATAGGGGAAAAATTTTAGAATATAGGGAAAAAGTTTAGAACATAGGGAAAAAGATGAGAACATAAGTTTAGAACATTGGAAAAAAAAAGTTTCAACATATGAACAAAGTTAGAACATTGGTTTTGAACATATGAAAAAATGTTAGAACATACAAAAAAACATAGGAAAAAAAATCTAGAACACATGAAAAAAAAATAGAAAAATAGGGAGGAAAATTTAGAGCATAGGTAGAAAGAGTTTAGAACATATGAAAAGAACTTAAAACATATATTTAGAATATAGGGCTATTGTAATGGTTAGATTTCAGGTTGGATTACGTTATTTAGGTTGGATTATGCTATTTAATTGTTAGGTGTACGCGTCAAAACCTATTGGTGTACGCGCCAAAACTATTAGCTCAATTGGTAGAGCACTATGCAAATGCATAGAGGATGTAGGTTCGATTCCTACATAGGTTATCTTTAAATATAACTAAAAAAATAAGTCATAATTTGGAGGAGTTATATATGCGTGACCCAGTCGGAGATATTATGGAAGCAACATGCTTAACAATGTCAGACAATGACAAAGTGGTGATAGCAAAGCGTTAGCGGCTAGACATACTCTATCTACAACCCTTGCAGCCAGCCTTAACCTGATAACATCAGTTTATATAGACAGCTTCAGTTGTAGAAAGTTGAGCATTTGAGTCTTGGATACATTGTATAGACATACAAGTATGTATTAGAGTTAGCTACACAATGTAATGCTATTTAATTTCTTATTCTCAACTTTAGAACATATGAGTAGAATATACGAACAACTTTAGAACATAGGAAAAATTTGGAACATAAGAAAATAATTTGCAACATAGTAAAAATTTAGAACATAGAAAATTAGAACATTGAAAAAAAAAATTAGATTATAGGAAAAAAAATTGAAAAATTAGAATATTGGAAAAAAAAAATAAGAGCATAGAAAATAAGTTTAGAACATAGGGTGAAAAAATTTAGAACATAAGGTGAAAAAATTTAGAACATAGGATAAAGTTAGAGCATAGATAGAAAAAATTTAGAACGTATGGAAAAAAAATTAGAAAATAGGTAGAAAAAATTCAGAACATTGAACATAGGATAAAATTTAGAGCATACGGAAAAAATTTAGAACATAGGTTTAGAACATAGGAAATAAATTTAGAACATAGACAAAAAAATTTGAATATAGGATATATATTTAGAACATGGACAGAAAAATTTAGAACATAAACAATAAAATGTAGAACATAGGAAAATAGTTTAGAACATACATATATTTAAAGCTTAGATTGAAAAAGTTAGAGCTTAAGCAATAAATTTTAAAACATATGCAAATAATACTTAGAACATATGATAAAACCTATTAGCTCAATTGGAAGAGCACTATGCAAATGCATAGAGGATGTAGGTTCAATTCCTACATAGGTTATCTTTATAAATAACTAAAAAAACTTCAAATGTTTTATTTTTTAAAAAAAAAAATCCAATAAAACAAATTAAATTAGCACTAAGTTATATGAGCAGTAAATAAGTAGACTAGATTTAAAACATAGGAAAAAAAACTTTAGAACATAAGTAGACTAAATTTAGAACATATGTAAAAAAAAATATTTAGAACGTAGGAAAAAAATACTTTAGAACATAGGTAATAAAAATTTAGAACATAGGAAAAAAAACTTTAGAACATAAATAGACTAAATTTAGAACATAGGCAAAAGAATTTAGAACATAGGTAAAAGAATATTTAGAACATAGGTAAAAGAATATTTAGAACATAGAAAAAAAAAACTTTAGAACATAGGGAAAAAAAACTTTAGAACATAAGTAGACTAAATTTAGAACATAGGAAAAAAAAATTAGAACATAAGTAAACTAAATTTAGAACATAGGAGTGGAGAAAAAAATTAGAACATAAAAGAAGAATTACAGAAATGCCATTACTAAAGGATCATTTTAGATGGTTGGATCAAAACTAATATACGGCTGAGATTGGTTCTTATATAAAATTGGGTTCTTATATAGAGAAGGGTTCTTATATATATATATATATATCTGCCAAAATTCATTCATAGCGGGAATATTCACATTCTTCCCCCTAATTCACAAAATTCTTTATTTTCAAACTTATCTCCAATCTTTATTCTTTTTTGCACACAATAAATTACAAGAATCAATTTAATCATTTACCAATTTCTTGTAATTCATGTTTTTGTGTTTTGTAAACTAATCTTGCGAAATTTGTTGGGCCTTCGATTTGTTGTGTGGTTGGATAATTATTGTTCCACATCTGGAAGTTGAAATTGGTGAATTGGTTCTGCGTTATCTGAAATTGATTGAAGATGCATTGTGTTGATGGATGGAGCGATGTTGGTGGTAGTCGGAGTGCCGAGGTTAGTGCACACTTTATTTGTAATAATTTTGCAACTGTAATTTTTGATATAAAGTAGCGGAATGTGGAATGCTCATGGATAATTGCCTTAATTGGTAGTTATAATTGCATTAATTAGTATTGTTGTTTAATAAGAACTTGTGGCATTAATGGTAGTGATGATAACATTAAATACTGTTAAGTTCTATTGTGGAATTTTTGGTATTGATATTGTGGAATTATTGTTATTGATATGTTAGCATGAATTATAAGTTTGTAGTTATTTGTTGTTACGGCATGGTTTCTATTGAAGTATGAAATTGGGAATATAGCTTCTGTTGCAATTTATAAGTATGGAGGATGTTCTATTGTAGTATGAAATTGGGATCATGGTGACGTTGATATTTTATTGTGTAGCATGAAATACCAATTAAAGATTAGATGGTACTCCCTCTGTTTTTAAATACTTAC